TTGCGATGGGAACTTACTACACGCTCTTCTTCAGAACCAAAAAAAGTTCTTTTTTTTTTGTGGGGAAAAGAGCTCTTCGAAGAGAAAAAAATGGAAGCTTGGGCAGATCGAGAGAGTAAATGTATAGTCAATTCGCTTTTATGCAAAGAGACTGTCTGTGGGAGAGTGAGCGGGATAGAGAAAAGGGTTTAAAGATAATAATAATTAAATAAATATTTCATTTTTTTAAATAGAAACTTTTTTATTACTTGTTAGAAAGAAAATGTTTATTTATGTGCTTGTAACGAAACTCATTGACTGTTTGACCATGAAATAAGGGGGAAAGAAGTATGAACTAGTATAGTTTTATTTTGGAAATTTCGATTATAAGTGATTAGTGGTTAATTGTCTTTTTTTCAATTTGGTAAGTGATTTAACATAGATTTTGTTTTAGATTTTGGTAAACTAATCATTTTACCTTATTTCAACTTAATTTTCATTTGGGTTCTGTGTCATTTTCATTTCTCCATTACCTTGTTGTAATTAATGAGATTTATGATGCAGATGCTGTTTTTTTTTTCCTTTTTTTCTGTTCGAGTGTTTTCTTATTTATAGTAGTTGTACTTTTTGTTTTTGTCAATCTTTATTTACTTTTTGTTTTTAAAAAAAATTAAAGTAAAGAACGATAGAGGAATAGTTACGTTTTCCAATAAATGGATCATAATTTACACATTTATTTACACCATTCAAATGCGCTGTTACTCTAGAGACAGCGTGGCTATTCATCCAAAGGTAAATAAAAGTGATTATAAAAACACAAGTTTGTTTAAAGGTAAGTGAAAGTGATTATAATACAAACTCTGTTCAAATTTTGAAGATTTGAAGAAAGATCCCACCAGTTATTTTTTAATGGTAGAGATTAAACTTTTGAAATATATAATAACAAAGACCAAATACATGTTTACCCCAGAATCAGCCTTCTTGTTTAACATAATTTTGTTTTTACGTTTCTATGTTTTAATATTCCTTGAAGCTTATTTGGACACCACATGGTAAAGATCCATCATCTACGAATTCTAAATTATCCTTTCGAATTTTTAAATAAATTTGTTGAACTTAAAGAATCCGTTTTATTTCTATTGGATTTGCTCCGTTTTAAAAGCATACTTGGACTTTGTCGTGTCCTATGCATGCGTTGATTAAAAGATCACATTATGTGATGACATTCTTTATTTCACGTAAAACAAGTTTATATCTAATTTTCTTAACGGTTACTTTGACCAAAACTACATGAAATTGTATATAGGGAGATTTCTTCACGAGAAAACGTTATACATAAACATTTGAAATTAACAGGAATTAATAAACTGTAATAGATCACCAAAAAAAAAACTGTAATAGATCTCATATTGTTTGTACGCATACTGATATTGTAATTACAATGGCTAGATGCACTCAACTCAACAAAAGAAAAGATACTTATGAAGTGAATAGTAAAGTGGTGGAATCTGCATTTTCAGGTTTTGTTATGTTCCACGACTTTAATAATGACTTGATGATCGATTATCTGCATGTAACGTAATATTTTTTAAGGGATAATTTGCTCATTAACTCAAAAAAAAATATATATCTAAAATTCTAGCCAAATACCCTAAATCTATTGGATATCATTTGGCCACATGAGGCCATTTTTGTTAGCTTTTTAAATATAATTATTTGTTGGTTATTAAGCAAATTGTCCCTTTTTTTAATGAGTATTGATAAAAATGGTTTTTAAAAAAAACTAATCAGCGGATTTTGAAATAAAGGTAAGATTTAAAATTGTGTTTTTATCTGAAAATTACTAGTATCTTTTTGTTGTGAATAAAGTTCTGTTGTTTTTTGTTGGTAATAAGCCAAACGGCAATAAAGTCAAATGATCATAAGTCCAAATTTTCAAACGAAACTTTGATCGATGTTCGATGATGTAAGTGAAAAAATAATGGGATAGTAATACAAACAAAAATAAACTCAAAGCATACTTGGAATATTTATATACACGCACAAACGGACGAGTATATTTCAATAAGCTAAAGTAACGAGCTAGCCAATAGTCTTACTAACCACATGGGAGTTACATATTCAAAGCTACATGTGGATTTCAAATTTAAGAGATATCTTTTGTATCGATCGATTATAGTATTTATTTATTTTATTTTAAAGGTTAATGCGTTAAAGCTGTTAGTGTGAGAAGGACGTAACGAGAGGTCGTCGTGGACCTAATAATAACGTTTTACGTTTTTATCCAAAGACCAAAAAGTTAGATCTATGTTTCAAACGTACACGCAAAATAAAATAAAATAAAAGAGAGATCAGAATTTCAAACACAGAAACAGATCTATAATCTTACAGACATTAAAATCGTGTCGTGTTTTTGGTTGGTCCATTTTTTTCAATTTTTTTTGAACCCCCACAACTTTCCCTCCACTCCCCTTTGCCCATCTCAACATGTGACGATATCGCAAAAATAATTTGCATGTATGTTTGAGTAAATATGTGATCCAATTTGCTCAACTAAAATGGGACCGTGGAATGCATGTCCGTGTCTGTGTACTAGTGAATATAAACAGTAAACACACACAAAAAGCGAATTATTGTCTAATTGAGAAACAAATTATTTTTTGAGATAAATTGCACTGATATAGTAAAAAAAAAGATCAAAATTAAGCAAATTAAACTTCTTTCTAACTAGAATTAAATAGTGTTGATTTTAGTGAGCTAAGTAGTAGTATTCATGATATATCCCAAGTAGTTTTAATGTAGCGAGAATTTGGTGAATAAGCAAATTAAATGATTAATTAGTAATCTAACCAAAAATATATGATGTGGCGAGATTATAGTCATGATATATTAATGCATTTGGTTACACTGAATTATAATTTTTTTTTGTTGGTTAGTCAATTTATTTTAAACATGTGTCGATTAGGTGAATAACCAGAGTGTAAACACAAGATGACTTTAGTAGTGTTATTGGTTAGTATTAGTGAATTATAAAATTGTTTTGTTATATATTTTTAATATGTGTCGATTGTTTTTCAAAAAAAATGTAAACACAAGATTGTTTGTTTTCTTTTTATCATGTAAATCAGTCCGTACCGGATTGGTATAACCATCTTTCCCACATACTATTAAATTAATACATGGAATTGTAGTCCTATAACAAAACAAAACACACCACAAAGTAAATTGAATAGCCAAAAAGCGTTTGATTTTAAAAAAGTGAAACGCCACGTCTGATTCCTTTTCTCAGGCAAATCTTCTTTGTTGATCACACAAACATGTTATTCTTAGTATTGGTTACTTTGTTTTCACTTTGTTCTTCGATTATATATACAAGAACAATATTATATACAAGAAAAAACTTAATGTTTTATTTATTATAAACATAAAAAGTATTATATATAACTTTTCCAATTGATAAAACAATTTTAATTTACTAAAAATATTTTTGTACAAATATGGTCCAAATGATAAGTAGATGAACATAATTAGGTATTAATAGTATCTTTGTACATTCAAAGAAAATGCAAACACTATAAGATACCATCAAAGAAAATGCAAATACTATATCCCAGTCTAACCGACTGAATCAAATATTGTTGAAAGAAAAACAATATAAGTCCAACAAACAAATCTTGTTGTGGATGGTCTAAATATTTCATGCATGAGATCAAACTAATGTGTCTAAAAACAAATATATTATATACTCAAAATTACCTTTTGATCGGATTTAATAACTAGCGACAATGTCGTCTTTGAATCTTTTGGTTTCAAAAAGTCCTTAAGATTATCTTTATAAAGTTCTACCAAATATACCTGCAAAGTTTCATATTGTCATTTGGTGTCATCATCTTTAATCACAACATACTAAGATAACAAATCACAACATATATTAAGATAACAAATTACCTTTAGAGAGAATGAAAACGTTATGTTATCTCGACTAACTATTATGAAAAACTCTTTTCGAGCTCGAGTTGTGAGTCCATGAATGTTGTCATTCCCATGTAGGGTGAAAGTCTTTCCATAACCAGTTTGACCATATGAGAATATGGAAACATTAAATTCATCTATAACCGACTGAATCAAATATTGTTCAAAGGAAAAGATATTAGTTTCACAAACAAAATTAACAACGAATTTAAAGTATATGAATAAATATGTATCGATTATACCTTTGTGTCTTGAATAACATCTGATTGACTATCATTCATGTCAAAGACGCGGCCGTATTTGTGTAGTTTTTTGTTGCCGTCTTCACATGAATATTCGACGATAAACTTATCCTTTTTTGTAAACACTTGTTTGTCATTAATTATCTGAGATCTCTTTTTGACTCAAGGGTATGATTCGATAGTAGACCCTAATGTTTTCCTTCATCTCTACAACTACATACAAATTAATATACATAAATTCCAAAAAATGAATATGGTTGTAAATAGTTGGCATCATGTTACCTTCTATGATATTATAGAGTGTTTTTCTTTATATGTCGAAAAGAGTGTAAACACAAGATTTTTTTTTTTTTTTATGTAAATCATTTTGTACCGGATTGGTTTAACGATCTTTCCCTCATATTAAATTAATACATGGATGGAATTGTAGTTGTAAAACAAAACATACAAAATGAATCAAATGGCCAAAAAGAGCTATGTAAAAAATAAGGGTCCAATTATCAAATACATAAAGATATTAAGGGTTGTATATGCGATTTTAGGAAAGTGAAACGCCACGTCTGATTTTCTTTCTGTGTTGATCACGCAAACATGTAGAAGAGGAATCAATCAGTGCAAGGAACCAAATAAAGAAGAAGAAAATTTAAAGGTTTTTGTTGGTTTTGGTTACTTTGTTCTTCGATTTATATCAGAATCCGTCGAGTAAATTTGGCTATTAAAAGCTCTTTGATTTTGTTTTGGGCGATTCTGGAAAAAAAAAAAAGCGAAAGCATCCAAATTGGATTAAGTCGCTGAGATTCATAAACAAAGGCGTTACTCTTTTTGAGTAAATTAAAATTAAATTTGATACCTTTTTGGTTTTGTATAAAGAAAGTTAGTATAATACTTTATCCCTTAAACACAGGAAAAAAGCATGAGAGTAAAATCCATGGGTTGGTGGTGAAGAAGACGACGAAGAGAAAAAGCGTGTTTTAACAACGCTGATACAGATTTTCCCTTTTATTGCATTAGGTGGATCAGAATTCTCTACATATACATATCGAACGATTCGACCCCTAATTGCAAAATCTCTCCTTTCAGTTCTCAAATCAATTTCGAGAGAGAGATATCGAAATGGGTTCGTTTGGGATGCTTTCGAGGAGAGCTTTGGGCACGGATGTTCCTGTAATGACTCAGGTCAACCTCGTACTCCTCTATTCGGATTGATTTTTTGTTTGTGTGTGTCTCGGTTGTGAGATATGGTGGTTTTGCGTGCAGATTCGGAAATTAATGGGGGAATTGACGAACCCTATGTCTCTTGCTCAGGTTTGTCTTCTAGAAATGTGTGTTTAAATCTAGTCGTGCGTTTTACTTCGGATTTCGTGAGTGTTTCTACTTCTAATCTTACTTGGGGTCTAACTAAGTTTGATTTGTATTGGAGTATGGAGATTCTATTGCCTTGTTGTTCAGTGAAACAAAGGCATAGTCATGTGGCTCATTGAACCAAAGACATAATCATGGTCATGTGATTGCATTTTGCAGGGAGTGGTGTATTGGCAGCCTCCTCAAAGGGCCTTAGAAAAGGTGAAGGAGCTTGTGTGGGATCCTATGGTTAGTTCTTATGGACCTGATGAAGGTATTCCTGAGCTAAGACAGGCTCTTCAGAAAAAGGTAACCATAACCTTTTCTTGAATCCAGTAAAGTGATCATCTTTGATGCTCTTTTCCTTGATTGTGGTTAATTGATCTACTGTCACTGAGCTTGTTTATATGTGATTCCTCGTGTTTGTTCTGAAGCTGCGTGAAGAAAACAAGTTAACCAAATCAGCAGTGATGGTTACTGCTGGTGCCAATCAGGTAAAAACCCGTCTTTGTTTACTCTTTTGGTGTACCCATTGCGTTGCAAGGCTCTGTCTTTTGTTTTGTTTCTTGTAGTCTCATACTCTGTTTTTTTAATCAAACGCAGGCGTTTGTGAATCTTGTTCTTGCACTATGTGATCCCGGTGATTCGGTTGTCATGTTTGAGCCATACTACTTCAACTCCTACATGGCCTTTCAGATGACAGGAGTCACCGACATAATTGTTGGTCCTGGCTATCCAGAGACTCTCTATCCGGACGCAGGTACCTCCTTGACTTTGTATCACATTTTCATGACTGGAGAAGCTATAAGTTATGACCTGTGAGTCTCTTTTTCTAGACTGGTTAGAGAGGACTCTCTCTGAGTCAAAAGAGACCCCAAAAGTTGTAACTGTTGTGAATCCTGGTAACCCAAGCGGCACCTATGTCCCTGAACCGCTTCTCAAGAGGATTTCAGAGATATGCAAAGCTGCAGGGTGTTGGCTGATTGTAGATAACACATATGAGTGAGTTTATCATTTGCCAAGTCCCATGATCTCCAAATTGAATGTTTTTGATGTTCTGAAAGGGATTTGAAAATGTCGCAGGTATTTCATGTATGACGGTTTAAAACATTGTTGCGTTGAGGGAGACCACATTGTTAACGTCTTCTCCTTCTCTAAAACTTACGGCATGATGGGTTGGAGGCTTGGATATGTGAGTGCTCTATCCAATTCTGTTTCAAATTGTTGGTTTTGGGACTATCTTACGAAACGTTTTGATGGACCTGCAGATAGCTTACTCAGAGAGACTAGATGGGTTTGCAACAGAGCTTGTGAAAATTCAAGACAACATCCCAATCTGCGCCACCATAATGTCTCAGCGCCTGGCTGTATACGCGTTAGAGGAAGGTGCTGGGTGGGTGACGGAGCGGGTAAAGGGTCTAGTGAAGAACCGGGAGATTGTTAAAGAAGCGCTTGCACCGCTCGG